CCCCGCCCCGCCGGGTCCTGCCCCGCTCGGCCCCGCCGGCGCCGCCCTCGTTCTTACCAGGGTTTTGGCTACGTTGCCCCTCTGGGTGATGTTTTTGCTGTGCTTCTCGTTAGCCATCCGGATCCGCTGTTTGGCCACCATGGCTTAGGCGCTTGGAGATGCGCTCGGCTCGCACCTGCAAGGATGCCCCGATTAGTCCCCGCCACGGATGGAGCGCGGCCCCCCCGGCCCCCCGCCAGGTCTCCCGCGGCCCTGAGCCCCGGGCGCTGCAGGTGGCAAGGGCGGCCGAGCCCAGCGCACCCCGCTCCCCCGAGCCCCCGCCAGCCGGCTTCAGAGAGAGGCCAGCGCCCGGACGGAAGTAATCTCTCATCTCAGGAAACTCTCTCCGACTTCCTCGCCATCCTTCCGGTCCCCCCCAGCTACCTACCCAGCGCGGCCCACCCAGGCAGGCGGCTGGGGCCAGGGCCCCTGCCTTGTCGCTGTCCAATGGCCGAACGCTGCGGGGCCCAGGGTTCTGGCGGCCGCAGCGCGTTTGTGCTTGTGGGGGGGGGGGAGGGGAGGGGGATGGGGGCAAGGCCGCGGTTGGGACTTCACTGTCGGGGACCACCCAGGCCACGCAGAGGCTGGGGTGCCCGCGCTTCAAGCCCCAGAGCCTCAAAAGTCAAGTACAACTTGCCCTGAGCTGGATCTTCAGCCTAAAAAATCATCCCTTCAGGTGGCTGGGAAAGGGTCCCTTGCCAGGGAACTCCCCTTTGGGACCTTCCTAAGATGTGAAAATCGAGAAGCCTATCACCGGGACAAATGAAAGGTCGGGGGTCCCGGGGATGGAGCTGAGTCAGACTTTCTTGCCTTGTCACTGAGGGACTTTCACGAAAAGATGGCCCACCCATCCACCTGAGCTGAACGTAGAGACTGGATGAAGAGGTCTTGAACCAGCAGCCCAGATAGGGTTTGATAGTCACCGCTCCAAGTTAAAACCTTGGTTCCTCACCTGCGTTAGTGCCTTGGACCTACCTCTGGTCCCCCTTTCCCAGGCATCTTAGTTGTAACCTCTCAGATGAGCTGATAATTTCTTGACTGTGGAAGACTAAAGACAAGAGTTTGAGTTTCTCTCTATACATGAGTATTAGGACTCAACAGTCTTCTCTAGACTGGAGAAGGGTAGAGATTCAGCAACTCTACTCCACTGTTGAATACACTCAAGTTAGCTCTTCAGATTCTAAGGAGGAGGAGAAGGGAAGCATCCAAGTAGATTTGGAGCTTTGGAGAGGGATGATCAAGGCAAGCTTCAGGCAAGCACTTCCACCAAGTGGGGAAGAAGAGCTGCGGCCATAGAGAAGCATTGGCAGGTGCAGCTCAGGGCCTCCTCTTGCAGACATCCAAGGCTGTGTTTCTGCAGGGTCTGGTGTAGGCAGAATTCCCTATGTGAGTGGTAACTTGTGAAGTATCCTGCTCTTTTGAGGCCATTCTATAAACGAATTCCCTCCCCCACATGCATTTTTCAACAGGGGCTGTTTGGAGCTGCCTGGTATCCAGAAGGTGGAATGAATTATTTGGGACTCTTAAAATAATTAATTCATTTTTTTTCTTTCTACTCTAGAGGCCAATTCAGCTGAAATGAGCCTTCACTGGCTCATTTTTGATCAGTACCACCACATGGCCACCATTATTACAAGATTACACACTAAATCAGCCATATTCTACTCCTATACTTTTAAGAGCCACTAGTTTTTCTGAGAAATGGGCACTTAAAAGGTGCCTCTCCTTGACTTTCCCACCCAGACAAGAGAAAGAGAGGCAGACAGATGCTAGGTCCCAGGGACCATTCAGAGACTGGACAAAGATGGTTTTCTCCTTAGGACTTCATTTAGAAGTGTTCTTAGCTGAAACAAGCTAAATTCTAACTTCAGGAGGACAGCCTTGTTGGGGAAAATTATTAATTGACCTTTGACTTTTGTTCATTTCTGGACAATTTTATTCCTTTCACTTTATAGTTTAAAATTCATTTGTTTTAATTATATGTAGACTGAATGCTTACAACATCCAAATTAAAATAAAAAGTGAAAAGTAAAGGTCTTCCCTGCCCTCCCCCAGTCAAAAAAAAGCCCCACAATTTTTAGGTGGGCTTTTAGTATTTTCTTTGAATATATGAACATGGTGTCACAAGCCCAAGCAAGGCTGGAGAATTATGAAGTTAGCCGGTGCTACACAGACTCTCTCAAAATGACAATAGCATATGCATGTGTACTTGCATATGTATATGTATATCTTTATGTGTCTGTGCAAATATATGGGAAAGTATAATGTATATGTGTACTATTGTAAAATGTACTTGGTCCTAATTAGATTTCCTGACAAAACTCCTAAAATCCTTGGAATCTCTGTAGTGCTAAGAATGTCTCTTGCATGCTATTGAGTGAATTGGTGGCTCAGATACCCCTAGTAGCTTTGAGATGAAGGCTGATCTCCAGAGAGACCAAGGCATGATTAGAGGTTTGGAATTTTAAACCCCACCCCCAATCTCTTGGGAAGAGAGAGGGGCTGAGGTTGAGTTAATGACCCAATGACCAATGATGCAATCAATCACACCCTTGTAAGGAAGCCTTTTTAAAAGTCCAAAAGGGCTGGGTTCAATGAGCTGATGGATGTCTAAACACAAGGAGTTCCCTGCAGAGGCTGGAAGGTCTGTACTGCCCTACTATGCACCCTTTCCCTGTGGCTGCAACCCCTGTAAAATCCTTTAAGATAATAGGTAAGAATCAAGTATTTCCTCGAATTCTCTGACTTACTTTCAGACTCTAGTAGAAAGGTCACAGGACCCTTAATTTCCTGCCAGTCAGTCAGAGAAGACAACTACCACTTGTAATTGGCATTTGAGGGATCTGATGCTAAATCCAGGTTGACACCAGAACTGAAATAAATTAGAGGACACACAGCTGGTAGAATTGCTCAGCATGTGGGGGAGAAAACTCCTTCACATCTGATGTCACAAGGTTGTGCTGATTGTGTGAGAACAGGAAAAAAACCTTTTCTTTCCATGTACAGTCGAGTGAGAATTATTTGAAGCTCCCTTTTGAAGATCTCAGTGTTGGCCAGGAAGACTCTACCCTTCGGCCACCTTTAAAGATCTTTTCCTTCCTTTCCTTAGCCTCTAGCTTTCCTTAAGTTAGAGAATCTGCTGGCGCATCCCAAAGAACCTTTCACAGGATGGTGGGCCCAAGTCTGGTGATAGGGCCTTGGAGATCTCTAGTAAATCGAAACCGGGCTTAGAAGGAACCATACCTGGAGTTGCCTTGCATGCTTGAGTTAGGAGAACAGAGGGAGAGGAATAGAAACTTGATCAAGGGTTGAGAATTCCCCTGAGCTAATCTATGCTGGCAGCAGGGATTTTGTAACATTCCAGAAGCATGCAGTGTTCAGCCATACAACCTCTAAGTGCACTGTTAGGAAAGTGATTAAAATTTAGGGTGGTAGTTTCTTCAGCCTTTAGAACAAGAATCACTAACAAGCATACACACTTGGATTGAATTTGTGTATAGAGACTGGATTTTATTCATTTTTAAAATCAATGATGCATTAGCTAAGCATACATATGCTAAGTTAGATCAGTGATCTAGCAGATAACCTACTGTTTTTCTGCAGCTGTAAAGCAGATCGATTCTTCTTCGATAGGTTAAAAAAAATACCAGCAACCAAGAACTCTGATGCACATGAAAACAAAAATCCAGAATGTTCTGTGTGGTTATATCCCTTTCTGAACCTGGTAACCCTGTCATGTTACCTGAAGCTTTTAGACATTATCAGTAATGGCTTCTAGTCAACCTTTTATTTTACCAATATATAGGCCTTGGAGACAGGTGCTCTGGGGCCAATTCTTAACTATAGTTAGGAGTGGTTGGCAGGCACACCCTATATAAATAAAATCAGCAGATCCGGGACATTTCAAGTACATTCAATGTTTTTCTCATCCAAAGCATATCCTTGCTAAAGAAGAGGAAAAATTGGCAACTCTCAAATCTTTTTTTTTTTGTACATACTAACTTACATGATTGAGGATATCTTCATGATGGTGTCTCAGTAGTGGAAAGAGACAAATAAGAAGAAAGCTGACAGCCAACATTATCTGCTACATACAGTGTAATCTAGCTCAATTCAGTAGATTATGGTTTTATGGCAGCAAGCTATGTTGTAATTGAAAAGAAACTTAGACAGCCATTCATTCATGTTTACTTAGTGTCTGTTGTATGCTAGATATGGTTTTAGGTTCTGAAAAAATTCAGTGACCAGTAGAAGAATTATTATTTTGGGAAACTGTCAAATTTTGTAGAAAGGACAACGACATATATATTGTAGGACTGTCCTAGTTTCATAAATGAGCAAAAGTCTCAGAATTGCAAACAGAATTGTAGCAGAGCTGAGAGCAGAATTAATGCTTCTTGACTTCTTCTTTCTGTCAAAAGAAACCCTAGTTATACTTGTATGGGAGCCAGGGTGACAGAGTGCTTCCCCAGATGAAGCTTTGGAGAATCATTTTTATATTCACCTGAAAAAGTTACATCCACATACAAACACTGAAAAATAAAGAACCTACACTGCGATGGACTTTGGTCATGAAATGGAGACACCAGACAGAATTTAACCTTTATGACAGCTATGTAGTTCCTTGACTCTTGAGGTGAAGTGATTAAGCTTTCACATAAGAGGCATGATTACCTTTCTCAAGTCTGTAATTAGTCTGCCTAATAACAATAAATCCGTTGTATTGCACAGGACACACACACACACACACACACACACACACACACACACACACACACACACACACACACACACACACCCTGTACAATATTTTCCTGTAATCTTCCATGGCAGTTCACTTACAGTTTCCACATGTGTGAGCTCTAGTTATGCACAAGCTCCTGCTTAAATTTCATCATTTATTTCAGAACAAAGCCACTTTGTTTTTATTCAATCAGGGAGAATATATTTTTCTTTTCTGGATGCATGTTTTTAATCATTGGAAGATTTTGCTGAAGGAGAAGAAACAACATAAGAAATCATAGGTAGCATTTCCAAAGAGGGTCAGAGCACCAAACCTTCTATCTGAGCGTTCTCACTTCTCCAATAGCCAGTGAAGTCCATGGAGCCTGGAAACATGCAAGTCTTGGCTCCTCCACTCAGTTTTACAA